TTCTCAGACTGACCACTAGTTCCCAGGCACAGCTATTCACTATCTTCTGGAATGTTTAGGGTTGTGCCAGCTTCCTCCGCTTATCTCCTGAGCGTTGCTCTGGAGACGAGAGCACCGTTTTCACCCCCCTTCCTCCATTCCAGTCCATCACATCTGGCAAAGTATACAGTGGTCATCCATTCTGATGATGTGTCCCACCCACCACATCTGGACTCTGATAATCAGGGTCTCAGTGCTGGTGGATTCCATGTGATCCAAGACTTCCAGGTTAGGGACACACTCTTGCCAACGAATGCCGAGGATGGAGTGGAGAGCGTGCATGTGAAATTTCTCCAGTTGTTTGATGTGCCTTCAGTTCAGAGTCCAGGACTCAGATCCATATAGGAGAGAAGGGATAACCACAGTTCTGTAGACTGAGCTTTGTGGAAATACGGATGTTGTGTTGATGAAGCACTCTAGTACCCAGCCATAACAGTACAGCAAGGCTAACCTACAAGTTTGCACAATCCTCCCAATATTCTGCAAGCCTGAGATGAAGTATTAGGCATTGGGAAAGCAGTTGTTAATAATCAGAAGCCCCATAATTGCTGCTTGAATACTCCTTAATTTCAGTTCCAAATACTTTAGACAGTTGTGGAGGAGAGATGAGATTTTTTTTGCATCTAAAATTAGCATTGCATATTTTGTTTACTCCATATAAGTGAAATTTACTAATGTATACCCCAGATAATTTCATGGCAGAGGTAGGTTTTCTAATAAGAACCTTCCAGGAAACACCACGTTACTGGCCACAGCCCAGTACAACTCCCTGTAATATAGTACAGGTAGTCCTCCGTTAACTACCATAATTGGGACTAGGAACTCTATCACTAAGTAATGTGGTCATAAAGGGAAAATCACGTGACTGTGCCAACTTACAACAGTAGTTCCAGTAGTATCGGTTGCAGTTGTTAAGCAAATCACACACTTTCATTAAGCACAATATCACAGGCTCTCAACTTGTGACTTCCTGCTGGCTTCCCTATTGACTTTGCTTGTTGAAAGCAGTGAAGCTTGCAAATGTCAATCATGTGTCCTCAGGACACTGCAACTGTCATAATTGTGTGCCAGTTGCCAAGTGTCTAAATCACGATCATGCGATTGTGGGGATTCTGCAGCAGCCGCAACTTCGAAGACCAGTCGTAAGTCTCCTCATTCAGTGCCATCGTAACTCTGAACAATCGCTGAATGAGTGGTCACTACGCAAGGACTTCCTGTAGATCATACTTCTCCTATCCTGCTAACTAAAATTATTAGTCTAGGCCATGATCTACAAATTGCTTGACATCAGCTGCCTCCTTCCAATCCCTTGTTGAAGAGCAGGTAAATATTATGAGTCTATAATCAGATATTTTAATCACAACTAGCATGGAAAGTTTTCAAGTCACCTATCCTTGCAGGAGACAGTTTATGCTCTTTCTGAGAGGATTTCTAATGCTGTGTTTCTTGATATTGGGAAAAGTTGCAAAGATTAGAATTAATCACAGAGATAGTAGATGAACTCTTGAAGACAGGCAGTCCTACTGCATTTCAGTATAGAAATTGGTGCCTGTGTGCTTGGGGCAGCCAAACTAAGTATTTGTGAATTGTGTTACAGCTATCAGCAATTTGGGTAGTTCTGGCTTAGCAGAACCCTGTTTATAACCAGTGATCTCACTTTTCTCTTTATTCTTCTCTTCCAGGCAAAGTACATCTCTCAGTGCATTGATGAGATCAAACAAGAGCTGAAGCAGGATAATATTGCTGTGAAGGCAAATGCTGTTTGCAAACTCACCTATGTGAGTCTTCATTGGTTGGGGAATGTCCTAAGATAGAATATTGAATGCTCCAGAGCTGTTCATTGATACATTAATAGCATTTTATTTCTTGGAAGATGTGGTAAAGGATGTGATCACTTCGTGGTTGGACTAGTGCAGTGCACTCTGTACGGGGCTGTCTTTGAAAACCATTTGGAAGCTACATTAGTACAGCACGCAGCAACACAAGTAGCCATGAGTTTGTGAGCTGCCCTAGTTACTAGCTGGCTTCCGGGTACAATTCAAAGTTCTGGTTATCATCTTTAATACTCGAAATGGCATAGGGCCCAGTTATTTAAGGGACTGCCTATCTTCAGTGGTTTCTAACAGTCCCTCAACAAGTGGTTGTTAACCAAGGATTACCTGTATTTTTATCTCCCCTTCTCTTTTGGGGGATCTCATTTCCATCCCACTGTGAATTTCCCAGTCTTCCTTTTCTTCTTAACCCATTCATTTTTTTCCTTCATACGTTTGTATTGCTATTTAGGCCTCGTTCATTCTCTCCCTATTACCAAACCTCCTCAGTGTACTGCTTTCATGCTCATCACTCACTTTTGTTTTCGATCTATGTTCCTTCAGCACTTGTTCATTCTTGATCCTATCTTCTTGTTTTGCCACATAAACCTTTAAAGCACTTCATTGCCCTGATATTCAACTTACTTCTATGCTTTTCCTGACATATGAGACAATCCCTTCATTATAATAAAATCAGCAGAAGACTGCTCTAGTATACATATTTCCCCTTTTTTCGAAAAATATTGTCTCAGTAAACTACCTACTGCCTTTCTAGTGGTATTTAGTATTTGGTATCTACCAAGATACCAAAACACTAGAGCAAACAGGTAAGTTTGTGTATCTGTGTATATATGAAAATAGTTGGCCCTGTATTTCCTTTCCAGTTTTCATACCCATATTTTCTGTTACCTATGAATTTCTACTTTCATATGCACCACAACAATGTATATTATGCAAATTCATACTTTTTGACATGTATTTTCATCCTTACATTCATAATTAAACCCATACCTTCACTTTGATACGTTTATTCATCAACTCCACTCCACAAGCTCAGACTGCCTTTCTCTTCATTTCCCAAACATGTAACACTTCTGTTTTCTTTCATTCATTAATTGATTTTTTTACCATTTACTCCTCTTACATTACAAGTTAGAATTCTTCATATGTCATGGGTGTCAGCTAATGGGCTCTTAAATATTGACCATCACCCCAGCTCAGCTAACTATAAAGACATTATTGATCAGTTTTAGTGCATCTTGGTCAATGTGCCAGAAGGACAACCAAAGCCCAGTTTTATTTCAGATGTGTTTACACTGTTCTGTGCAAACTAAGGTTCTGATGTAGAGGCTACCTTGCAAGCCAAAATGTGTCGCCCATAACTCAACAATCGGAAAGTACTTACAGTGTTCCAATATAGACTTAGCTAAAACATACAGGCAAATATTTTATCCAATTAAAATATATTTGAAATTTGATTTATCCCTTGTTTTGAGATTGATGCCTTGTCTCTCCTCCCCATCTCTTCAATAGTTACAGATGCTGGGCTATGATATTAGTTGGGCGGCATTCAACATCATTGAAGTCATGAGTGCATCCAAGTTCACTTTTAAAGTAAGTAGTCTATATGAAAGTCAGAATGTTGGTAAGGACTCTAAATTCGTGCAGAATGACTTTCGTTTGTTGAAAACCTGGGACCACAGCAGTTTGTATCTCATCTTAAAATGTAAAAAATAGCAGTTAGATGGGCGACGTTCTACTCCATTATACAATCTGTGTCTTGTGTCAACAAAGTAATCTCATTTATTTTACAAAATTCTGATGTTGCTAATCATTAACATCTGTCAGAAGCTATGCAAGGCACTGAACTCCACCATCAACAGATGCCTTCTTTTGGTTTCCTCTCTGATTCTTTTAATTTTGATATTGCCCATATATTTAAATACACTTTTACAGTTAGGTCTAGGAAGCTAAACTGTACATCCAGAACCATTTCTGTGTTTCTCCCCTATCACTGTTCTTCTACTAAACTGCAGTTTTATTAACAGCCCCAGCAGTTGCCCTCATGCAACTCTTTTGTACCAGCTACAGTCTATATTTTTACTAGAGCCCTTGTTTCTCAGGATGATGGCCACAAGCCTATTCAGCCTTAGACAGTGATTACCTTTTATTCATTTGCAGAGGATCGGATATTTGGCTGCCTCTCAGTGCTTTCATGAAGGGACAGATGTTATCATGCTGACAACTAACCAGATCCGAAAGGTAAGTGTCTCTTTTCCAAAAAAGAGGCTTGTGTCACCTGTGTTATGCTCATGCTAAGCAGTATTCAGCAAAATACTCTTTAAACAGTAGACATAATAAAATCAAAGCCATGATAGCATTGAAAACAATTCAGGTCTTCTCAGAAAAAGCTCTTTGCTCTCTTTGCTTGTCTGTGCCAAGGTGGTGAGAGTAGAAATGAGCCAGATCTTCCAAATAAGGAACATCACAATTAAGAAAGCCCACTCTTCATTGCCTCTAGCCTTTTCTCAGAAAGCACAGCACAAAGAAGGGTGTCCAGAGATGATATCAGTAAGCAAACAGGTTCATCTGAGAGAACAGTCATTAAAAGACATTCTCTGGACATTTAAAACCCCAAAAGAGTTTTTATAGATAATAAACTATGCTTTGGAGGGTGGGTCATTTAGTGATTGAAATTTTCAAGTGTAAGTGATTAGCAGCGAATTTTGAATGTAAATATTAAATCTGTAGCGTACTTCCAAAAATTTAAAGATTCTATTTTTTTTTCTCATCCATCCATCCGTCCCCTCTCCCCCTCCCCCCTTTCTACCTTATTGTTCTAGGACCTGAGTAGCCCCAATCAGTATGATACTGGAGTTGCACTGACAGGTTTGTCCTGTTTTGTGACTCCTGATCTTGCTAGAGATTTGGCAAATGACATCATGACTCTGGTGAGTAGTGGGAGAGAGTTTTTGTTTACTCATGTAAACTCATGTTTTTGTTTGTTTAGTCATTGTTTACTCTGAGCAAATCTCTTTGAAGCTCCAAGTGAGGAAGAAATATTTTTAGAGCAAAAGAGCTACTCTGCTGCTGACTACAGGAGCAGTGGAGGGGCATTTTGTGGTCCAGTCACACACAGTGAAACACTACAGAAAATAACATTTACAGTCACAAATCCGTATTTAAAACTTACTTTAAAACAAAGACACCCTGAATTGAATTTAACTCCTAGTGAAGATAACAACATGTTTGTGGAATTTTTTTGGCAACAGTACAGCCATTATTGCTATTCTCTTCTTTTGGGAATTTTTTTAGTCTTTCCAGTCTAGACCATAGCCCTTGGATTTCCTGTTTTTCTCCTGTACTAACCAGGTCCAAACCTGCTGAACGTTTTTGAGATTGGCTGAGATTGGCTAGATAAGAAAACCAATTTCTGGTGCCTAATTCTGTCCCATTCTTTGATCATCCAAATTTTAAACATGTAGAGCAGGGGTTCCTAAACCTTTTGCCATCACACCTCCCTTTAATCATGGGAGGTGCCATCACACCTCCCTTAATGTACACACCTCCCCTAAAACTCCAAACACCAAAATGAACACAAATGAACAATGAAGGCAATATAATGAAACTTTTATTTTTTATAACAACATAAAAAATAAAGCAAAGGTTCTTCACACCTCCCCTGGGCTCTGTCTGCAACCTCCCCAAGGGAGGTACACCTCATGGTTTGGGAAACCCTGATATAGATAAATATAATGAAATCAAGGAATGGGAAAGATTCAAGATTTCATAGGATTAATGATTCAATTACTAATGAGATTCCACTTTAGTTTCACATGATACAAGTTGAATAATTTCTTCTCAAGCTAATCAAGTCTTATGAATAAGACCATTAATGGTATTTTTGAATAATGATTAAAATTTTATTTATCTATTTATTTATTTATTAAACTTGTCCCCGCCCATCTCCCCCCAATGGGGGACTCTTAAATGAAACTATCTTTAAAATCCACTAAAGATAGTTTCATTTAAGTGTGATATCTTTTTAGTTACCAACAGTTATTCCTAATAGATTACTTTTGTCTATTCAAATGTCTTTCTGAGCAGAAATATTATATTTGGATGTATTAAAATTATCAGTGTATTTATATATACTTAGGGTAGCAAATTGCTAGCCCCTAAGCCAGAGCAAAGTACCTGTTGTCACTGGTTCTTTTAACAGGTGGCATAGTGTTCTTTCCCTTTCACTAAGCGCTCAAAAGGCAACCTTCAAAAGGCCTGTTTGCTAAAAGCTGTGGTCAGAGAGGCCTTCCCTTTGCTGCTTATCCTGGGTATATCTGAGGTGCATGTGTACATTATTAGATTCCTAGGCTCAGTATGCTGCAACCCTTGATTAGGAAGCTGTTCCTGCCAGGCTGTGAAGCCTCAAAGATTATTAGAAGCTATGAAAGTCCCCAGTTTTTTAGGTGTGATAAACTTCTCATTTCAGGCTATCTAGCAGACAACAAATAGGTATATTTTAACCCTTGATAACATCATGACCACATTGAAATGGATCTTTTCTCCCTTCTTGCCACAGGAAAGAAACCTCTCTGAACATTAGTGCCAGGAACATTTTCTGAAATATGAAATGAAGGAGTCTTGGAGTAATTGCTGTGAAAATATGTGCTAAAAGCTTTTTCTCTCTGCAGATGTCTCACACAAAGCCTTACATCAGGAAGAAGGCAGTGTTAATCATGTACAAAGTGTTCTTGAAATACCCTGAATCCCTTCGACCTGCATTCCCCCGCCTTAAGGAGAAACTGGAAGACCCAGATCCTGGTTAGTGATCCAGAAGATTCTAAGATGTTTGGGACTCTTGACCTGGGAAGAAGGTGTACATTTAAATAAAACTGGATAAGATCTTTTGCAATAATAAATTCATGAGAATAGATATAAATAGAGTTCTTGTGTGCTGGATTCCATATTTTAGTCCTAGGGATGGTATAACATTCTAGGACCAAAATAAACAGTTTTGAACACCATGTATTTATGCATATGTGCAGGGTGATTGTAAAGTGCCAGAGAAAATGTAGGGCAGATTAACTGGTTCGGCTCTAGAAATTTTAGCTTTCTCCCCACAAGTACTTTATTAAGATCATTGCTGGAGCCAAATTAAATATGCCAATTAGCACAGCTGCTACATACCACAGCAGCTTTGCATCTTATGCCCCTATTTCCCTTATTTGACTTCTGTGAAAGGTTCCAGTACAGTATCAGAACACATCTCACCTGTCTCCCAGCAGCAAATAGGTCATGGCAGGTAGAAAGTTGTGATATGGGAATGTGCATAAGGTTTTTTTAAATTAAATTTTAGGAAGTGGGAAGACAATAGATATGCATTTTCTGTCCAATCAATATTTGTTGCTCCTTTCAGTTATTGGAGTAGGGGAATTTTTTTTCTGCTACTTTTCTGCCTTCTAGCTTAGGACTGTTCACTCCATGCTTTTTCTAGGCAGAAGCTCAGTGTTGCCATCTCCCAGTTACCATGTTCCCTGTTTTACACTCTGTCCTTACAATGTAGTAGCTAGCTCACCTTTTTCTCAACTTGGTGCTCTCAAGATATAGGGAATGCTCAGAGTTGTAATTAAGTGCATCTGGAAGGTCAAGGTTACAGGGAGGCTGGGGTATTCAGTTGGATCTAAATGCAGGACTTTCTCATGGATTCCTTCTAATAGCCTTGAAGTTCTCTTTACTGACTGTGAACAAGTCATTCAGCCTTCTCATTTGTATTAGGGCAGGGTTTCCCAACCTTGGCAACTTTAAAACATGTGGACCGACTCTCAGAATTCCCCAGCCAGCATATGCTGGCTAGCGGATTCTGGGAGTTGAAGTCCACATGTCTTAAAGTTGCCAAGGTTGGGAACCCTGTATTAGGGTAAAGAGCCTAAACACTTTGCCAGTTTAAACAGTAGCATGGTGGGAATGAGGAGATGGTTTTCAAGTTTCAACTATATCTTGTGAGTGCTCTTTTATTTCAAATACAGTTGGAAATCTCACTTTCATATTCCATTTGAACATTCTTGTGGGGCAAGAATGGGGTGGACTTCTCTATCTTCAAATCCCTGTAGGTTGTTTTGCATGGTTTCTGTTGCATATTAGCTGAGGAAGAAAGTATTGCTGTAGTTCTCTGTATATGAGCCCTACAGCCCCATTTACTGAGACATTCCCCCCCCTGTTTTTTCCCCAGGTGTTCAGTCAGCTGCTGTGAATGTTATATGTGAGCTAGCCAGACGCAATCCAAAGAATTATCTTTCCCTTGCTCCACTCTTTTTTAAACTGATGACATCATCCACCAACAACTGGGTCCTAATTAAAATTATAAAATTGGTGAGTATTAGCAGGTCCTGGCAGCTGGTATCTTTGTTATCAGTATACATGGTGTGAAAAAACACAGAACCCTGTCACTTCAGAGGTGTAGCAGCTGACACAAATTGATAGGAAAAATAGGCAGCAGACTGTAAAACTGGCTTGAGAGGAGAATGTTTGATTCTCAGGCAAGAGCTAGTAGAAATCTGCCAGGCAGATAGAAATGTGAGATTGCAAACAAGAATGAGCAGAAAAGATTCTGCTTGCTAATGGTTCCATTACTGATTTTTTTTTTTTTAATTTCATCTGTTTCTGATCTTTATTTCCAAACAGGGCAATCATGGTTTTAAAAAAACATAAAATAATGAATTAAACAGTATTGTGTTTGCATAGTCAATATTATATGGACTTGAGCCTGTTGATCCTACAGGTAGTTCTCAACTTACGACCCCAATTGGGATTGGAACTTCCGTCCCTAAGTGATGCAGTTGTTATGCGCCTGATTTTACAACCTTTTTTCCCATGGTCATTAAGCAAATCACACAGTCGTTAAGCAAATCTGACTTTCCCCATTAACTTTGCCTGTCAGAAGCCCCCTGGGAAGGTCACAAATAATGACCATGTGACTCCAGGATGCTGCAACCTTCGTAAATACATGCCAGTTGCCAAGCACCTGAATTTTGATCACATGACTGTGGGATGCTGTGATGGTCATAAGTGTGAGGACCAGTCATAAGTCATTTTTTTTCAGTGCAGTCGTAACTTTGAATAGTTGTTAAATGAATGGTTGCAAGTGGAGGACTACCAGTATATGATGTTCACAATAACAGAGTCTAGAAGGGTATCACAGCTACTGTGGAAAGCAGAGTTGTGGCTGGCAGCTGCTGTCTGGTGTCTTAGATAGAAAGAACTTTCCCTAGCACCTGCATGATTGCTGAAACAGGAAAAAGAACCTATGCTTTGATACTAAACAGAGTCTTCTCTACCTTAAAAATATTATTGTGGATTTACATATTATTCATTTTATTTATTTTATTTATTGTTGAATTTATACCCACCTCTCTGTTTATGCCAACACTCAAAGAATCTTATAGCAATAAAAAATACAAAATACAAAACAGAACAAGATTAATGCAATTAAAATTAAAATCAGTCATTAAAGTAAGCAGAAGAGTAATTTGGTAAAGACACTGTTTTCATCATTGCCCTAAATATTGAGAGAGTAGAAACTAAATATGCTCCCATTCCATAGCATGGGAGTACATAGCACCAAACCTTTTTCTGCATATTTGATACCCGTACTTCTGGCAATGAGCGAATGTTCAAGACTTCTCCTGCTGGGTAATTTCATAGTAGAAGGGGTGATCCTGCAAATAATCAGTCCCTAGAAGGTTTAGAGATTTAAGGCCAGCCTATAATTAAAAAGTTCTTCTGGGTCAAGGGAGGGCTTTTTCAATAATGGTCTTAGTATGCAAGGGGCAGATCCCGCATTCAAGGAGTCAGTGATCCCCTCTCTGAACTGTGGAGTCAATCACAAAATGACTGGTTTAATTAGCCAAGGAGGACAAGTGTGGAGCAAGCAAGTGGTGATCCTTACAGGATGGTCAAATCCTAGAGCCTAATATTTATTCTGGAGCTGTGTGTATTTTAAAAATTATTAGGATGAAGTGTTTTGGAAAAGCAGGAATGCAAATGCAGCACCTCTTTAAAGCAGTTATATCTTTTATTAGCCTTGAATGGAATTCTGAAAAAAATACACAGCTGCTTTAGAGAGTTGCATGCTCCTACATTTTTGGAAGCATATCTTCCAAATAATTTTTGAAGCACATACAGCCCAAATCTACTTTGACTAGCAGTAGCTTTTCACAGACCTCTTATAGCTTAGTACCTGAGATCCCTGTAACTGGAGATGCTAGGGCCTTATACACCCACAACAAATATTTTTTACCTTTGAGGTATGGCCTCTTCACTGTAGTTCTTTCTCATAGCCTTAGGTATCCCTTAAGTTTCTGTCACTCTTCTAAATGTTGATAAGGGAGGAAAAAGAAATTTACCTTTCATTCTGTAGTCTTACGAATGTTTTCAGGGAATACCCTAATAAATTAGTTTGCTATAAACTCAGAGAAGTAACAGCTCTCACACTTAAAAGACTCCCTACTACAATATCTTTATTTATAAAAGTTTGTTTGTCACTTTACTAGATTGTAGGTGGCATGCAGTAATAAAAATATAAAAAGTATAAATGCTGTGACAGATGTGACTGTTTCATCATGGATGGAGGGCTTCTTTGACAGTTACTGTTGAATATCTGAATATTTCCCCTGGGAGAACCAAATATAGGGTTTTAAAAAGATTGATGTTGACCTTCATGCTGCCAGTGTGAATATTCTAGAGTCGCATTTTTGGCTATTATGCAATAGCAACAATGAAGATGTCTGCAATTGTATACCTTCTACAGTGTGTGTATATGTTTTGGAGGGATAGAATTATGAAGTCATGGGGTGCCTAATTTCTAAAAGCAGTTGAAAGATGTGCAGATAATTAAGGCAAAAATACCTTTTTTAAAAAAATGTTCTTTAGCTTTAGAAAGTTCTAATATAGAGAATATTTTCCCCTTCTCATCTCTATATAACCTAATGTAACAGAACACTAAATTCAAGGCTAAAATCCTCATAAAGTTTTCTACACAGTGTGGCTTTGAAAGGGTGCTAGGCGTTTTGGGGGAAGAAGAATAAAACAATTGCTGGTTTATTAATCATTAATAGCCAGATAGAACCCCCGTATTTGAACATAGGTATCTCTCTGATTATTGTTACTGAGCAATAATGGGTTTGAAATGAGGTTGAATGGGTTTTTGCTTGTATGTCCTTGTCGTGGGCTTCTCAGAGGCATCTCTCTGACCATTATGGGAACATAATGGATTAGGCTGACCTTTCTTACAATCTAACAGAATTCTTGAATTCTTCTTTGTTTTTCTGCAGCCACTATTTAAGGTCAGAGGCTGGTTCTTAAATCCTAGCAAACATTTTTAGGCTACCAGGTATCTCCCTGGCCTCCCCAAGGTAAAGGTATGCTGATCAGATCAAAGATCTGTGTAATCCAGCCTTCCATTTCTGCAGTATGCAGCCAGATATCAGTGGAAAGCCAACAGGCAAGACATTACTACAATATAATTCTCCTGTCTTTCTGAGCAAATGCATAGAGAGAAATCCAGCTGCCGATGGTGGAAATAGTGTAATTATTGTGACTAGTGTAACTATTGTGAATCTAAATAGATTCACCCAGCCTGCCGAACCATTGGTTGGTTTATTTTTATCATGATTTGAAAGACCCATAGTGGTGTCATTCCCACACAACGCGAAACTTTATTTCTCTCTCTCTCTCTCTCTCTCTCTCTCTCTCTCTCTCTCTCTCTCT